AAAACATTTCCATGATTCTTTTTTTGTTGGAAAGCGCTCTTTTTTTTCTATAATAACTAAGAGATGGGTCGAAAACGTCATGCGCCTGATGGTAAGCGGTACGCCTATCCACAACAGTTGCAGTACCACTCAGAGCTTTAAATCACAAAGATCTGAGGGGCACTGCCACTGCGCCCGACAACCTGAGACTTGAGTTGACAAGTCCCATGGGCCTGTAATTGCACCCTTACCCTTCAAAATCGGAACACAGTAATGCTGACATTACTGCTTGGCGGCAAAAATAGGTAAGGCGGCAGTACTTCCCTGGAGAAACTCTTTCACAAGGAGCTCCACTGCTGCTAAACTAAACATGAAAAGAGTGTCGAAGTCAGACCATTGTAAACTAGGCCTATGTTCAAGTAAACAAATTTAGTTCTGCTTTTGAGGATACTGCATTAATGTTTATAGACAGAGGTTACCACAAACACAGAAATAGGTAAGGTAAGTAGTCATTCCCTGGACGCCACCGCGGAGCGAAGACAGCACCGGCCGCCACTCTCAACGGCGCCGGCGCAGGACGATGCATGCCACCTTCGACGCATTTCGCGTACTAAATAGCACGCCGCTATCGCTTACCCATTGTCACGCTTACGTATTCACGCTCTGTACCATTTAATCTCTATTTTATTCATATCGTTCATGTCGTTCATTTCGTTCATTTCGTTCATTTCGTTCATTTCGGTCATTTCGTTCATTTAATTCATTTCGTTCATTTCGTTCACGTTGTTCATTTCGTTTATTTCATTCATTTTATTTATTACATATTGCTTACAGTAACCCAAACGCAATAGTAAGACTTAAAACTAATCTAGTTCAGTATATTGCTTATTCTCTACTGCTTCGTTTCATTTGCCATCGCAAGTAAATAAGTGTAAAGAACAATTAAAGACGAAAAACTTTTTCACTGTATTGTAATTATATATTGTTCACTTCTTTTGTGCCACCTTCAAGAATCATTAAATAATCTTTAATCGTACAAGCATTGGTAAACGACTCAGTGTTTTTTACGACGTTAGGAAATTCCTTAATAAAAAAAACTACACGGCGAATTTAAATATGTCTTGTTGCCATTTTCGCTGTAACTTAATAACTTACAATATTCGTTCAGCGTCAAAATTATCTAAACATGTAAACTTGGCTTGGAAAATTACGTCAAATCTTCTCGTCATTTTACCACCAAGTTTGAAAACAAACAGTCAGTACGTTTTACCCGTTATGTTATGACCAATGGTTGGAAAAAGATGTGCCACATACATAGATCCATGTATAAATACAGCTACAATGAGCGACATAACGTTGTGAAAACCACCAAATATTAATTAATTACTTTTTCGAATTCCGCATTTCCGGATGAAAGAAACTCTTCTCTTTATTCTATTTATGAAAATAAATGGCCATACATGGGTGAGGCCGTCAAAAATGGCACATTTTCGTCTTGTTTAAGCGTTCAGCAGTTTTTGTGAACATTTTCCTTTTAAAATATTAGTTCGAATTTATGAAAATCTGTTATACAGTGTTTTTGAATTTAATTAAAATATTTTTAGAGCGCTATCACGATTATCATGCAAACTAAAATGTGCTAAAATTCCCCTTGTAAATGTGACCGTCTGCGGTCCGGACCATATGCGGCATCTAAAGCTAGGGAGGTGCGTAAAGTGACCATCCGTTACTTTATTATTCTCTTTTGGTAAAAAGTCAGTTATCTACTGCACTTTTTACATCATACACATATTGCATCATTAGAATTACTTTAAATTCCAACTTCAACTTACTAGATCAGTAGTTTGTCCTACGATGCATTAAAACCATTTCCGGGAATACGGAATTCGAAACAGTAATTAATTAATATTCAGAAGTTTTAACATCTCTATGTATGTGGAACACCTTTTTCCGACCGTTGGTTAAGATCAGTGATCGGAATTGTGATGTTAATTTAACTGAACTAAAGAATAACGTGGACATTCCATTCTACAAATTCCGGAACTTCTCGGAACTGATTATATTAGAATATCGTCGCCTTACTGTCTTAAACTCGTATCTTAAAGGACAAAGTAACTGAAATGCAAAAAATGCACTGTATATACAAATTTTGTAGGCTCATTTCACTACACATTTCCTTCATATATACACACTGACTTTTACCTATTCTTAAAATAATGCACTCAAATTAACACCCCTTTTTTTTTTTGACGGGTGGGAAATCTTTATGGATACCCCTGAGCCCAGGGAGACTCAGGAGTTATGAAATTAACACCCCTGATAAGAAATTTAAAATTAATAGAAAGTTTTTCCATCCCCTGTAATGTAAAAAATAATATAAATAAGGTTATCCGACAGACCGTCGTCAACACAGCTGGTAGAATAAGTAAACTGAATTGGCAGTGGGCTGGTCATATCTATCGAAGAACCGATAATCGATGGGGTAACGAGTTCTTGAGTAGTGACCACGACTTGGCAAAAGTAGTGTAACGAAAGGCAGCTGGCAGCACATGCATGCGATAAACTGAGGACCGGGCAAAATGGCGCTCATTGAGAGAGGCCTATGTCCAGCAATGTACTGCGTAGGCAGATGACGATAACAAACCTCTTAAATATCACTGAAATAATGATTTAGATGAAGTCAACCTTTTTTTAATTAATAGAAGCCACATGTTTTATTAGAACTAGTCTAAAAACAATTCAATGTGACACGTTCATTAATTACTCAGAAATTTTGCGTTAATTGCTGGCACTTGTGCCATGTGTCTTAAATAGCAACTATGAGAATAATCCAAGAGACTCGCAAGAATTACAGAAGCAGCAATAGACATAAGGATAATTTACATACAGAACGAAATATACCTACTTTGGTTTGCAAAATGTGCGTATGGAAGGAAAAGAGTTGTCATAGCACTAAGGATAAGAACTAAGGGGCGTATTTCAAAACTCTACTCAATGCTTAAGTCAGGATTTGAGTATGATTTAAAGCACTAGAAAATATACTCAAGTCTTTGCGTTTAGGGCCGTATTTCCAGTGCTTGAAATCATATTCAAATCTTGACTTGAGCAATGAGTAGAGTAGAGAACTCTACTCAATACTCAAGTCAGGACTTGAGTATTGCAGTGAGCACTGAAAATCATACTCAAGTCCTTGCCGTTAGAGTCGTATTTGCAGTGCTTAAAATCATACTCAAGTCTGCTCAAATCCTGACTTGAGCATTGACTACAGTTCTGGAATACGACCCTTAGAGTCGTTAGGAGTCGTCAGGAGTTAATGAGAGATATGGACCAGTACGGTACGCAAATTGTTTCATCACAATGGCAAACATGTCTCACACTTCATCATGGCGGCTACTACTAGTGATGCGGTTATCGGCAATAACTTCTGGGCCACAATAATATGTATAGTGCATGCCATCTCATCATGCGAGGTAGCTTCAAACCCTTATTTAGAAATCTAAGAATATTGTCCCTTCCTTGTATATATTCGAGATATGTATTTTTGTCAAAAAACATAGTTATTTATTTACTTCAAAAAATATTCCTTTTTTAACCCGATATCCCTATCGTTTGGCCCGACATTCAAAGGAATTGCTATAACATGTGCGTAAGATTATATAATGTTACCTGACGGTATAAAAATGTTATATACGTCTAGATTTAAGAAAGTACTATTTGAATTGCTTGTGACAAATTGTTTTTGTAAAGTAAATAAGTTTTTGTCTTCTAAATTTTGAAGACTGCGATCTTCTACATATTTATTACTTTGACATTCATTCCTTGTAATACGATCATGATTTTACGTATATAATGTAATGTTACGTTAAGGATAAATGCGAACAATGTATAATATTTGTATTTTAGTTACTGCCGCAACACACTGAACCACAGAATATAATAGAATAAAATAATTTATTTCATATTATCAATGTCACAATATTACAATAAAAAAATTCAATGTCAAAGAATAATATGATCGTCACTAACGCAAACAATAATAATTAATATAAAATAAAGTAGTATAACTACTGCTTGTCTAAATACAATGAAATCTAGTAAAACAAAATAACAATTGTTTCAAAAGAAACTCATTGACACTGTAGAATTCACTATCAAATAAAAGGAGTCGTTTGTAACACTTTTCAGGTTTGTGGGTAGATGTTCGTAGAATTGGGGACCTATTACCCGTGGATTTCTCGTGCGAGTTCGGTACGGTAGGCAACAGATTTTAGTTTTCCCGCGTTTCGCAACGCTCGACCTCCCCGCCCGTACGTCGCTCATAAGTGCTCAAGTTTTCACGCTCGTAAACTATTATACCATACATGTATTGTGAGTACGTCGTCATTATATGGTATTTTTTAAAAAGGTTTCTGCAGGACTGATCTTTTTTATACCTACTATATAGTTCTTAGTGCACGTTTTTGAAGAATATATATCCGTACCTGAGAAGTAGTACACTGTAAACGCCATTTTTGTAATTTAACGAGAGAAGCGATTTTGTGTCGAAAAGCAGTTTGTATGCCAATTAGGTAGCTCGAAATGTTATTAAAACTCAATTAGTTTTATTTGAAGCCATTCTAAATGTTGTACATGCTGCATTTCGACACAAAATCGCGTCTCCTGTAAAATTACAAAAATAGCACTTACAGTGTTATTCTTCTCAGGTACGGATATATTCTAAGTGTAATCTTAAACATGTGAACAGTATTTACCGTGTATGCTTACAAATAAATATATCTCTATCTCTCTATCTATCCATCGATACGATAATAAGAAGAAACAAAACCACGCGTTTATCCGAGATTGATACTTAAACGGTGCGGTACAATTATTATGTTGGAAGACCCAAGATCTGGTTACCTTACCCAACGTATAAACAGACAACTACTAGCATTTCCGATACGCTGCGGTCGGGATTCAATCAACCACAAAAACCATGTCGAGTACTTTTACCCAATAATATAGTGGATGTTGTGACTTACCAAACATAAGCACGACGTATTTGGCTCCGGATTCATTTGTAAACGAAACCGAAGGCACTTCTTTTACATCGTTGGCGTTCAATTTCGTTCCCAGCTCTGGTGCCTTTCCATTGGGATACGAGACCTGAAACAGATCAATATTTAGTATTTCCTACCACATTTGTTCGATTGGGATAAAGGCCAGAGTTCAATCTTATAACATTTCAATTTTCAAGTTCAAATCAAAATTTCAAGTTCAATCTTATATAAAGTTGATTATCTATCTACTTGGTACTTGGTACTTGGTGTAACGGGCTGGTGTCCGCAACTCAACGATAAGGCGCCTATTTTGCGTGTATTATCTATGTAACACATTTTCTTAATGATTCTGTTTTATTTTATTGGATTCCGTTTAAGTATGTAGCTATACACCTAAAACTTTATTTTTGTGGCTATCACAATGGCAATTACATAGCTGCCTATGTACATTGTTACATAGTGGTATTTATAATTTCTCGCAAATCTACACATTTCTAGATTCTATGTCGTCAATTTGTAAAATTTTGATTGAAATATACTATTGATATCATATGTAATGTTCTCTTTTTGTCTTTAAACAAAGAGGAAACCTGAAAGTTTGTACATTTCCTTAACCTTTTCACCGCCACTGTCAAAAACTAGTTTCGTTCCTTAAACGCCAAACCGATATAGTGATGTGACGTGTTATGAATTTCCACCTTATATTAATTCCATTCTCATAAGTCAAAGAAGAATGTAACTGTTAAATCCAAATAAAAATATACGAATAACACAAGGAATATCTTAATATATCGCACAGATAATAGTGTATTGTGTAACTGCCTCAGTGGCCGAACGGTTACCATGCCGGACTGCCACGCAGAGGTTCCAGGTTCGATTCGTGGGCCGGGCGAAATATTTGTATGACCTACATTTATTTCTCTCGTGAGTTTGGGTGTAATTTGTGGTTGTCTATGTGTGTGTCCATGGCACCCGCGACACAGGGTTTCCCTAGTGCGGGGCTATGTGTATGTTGAGTGTGTGCGTTATTATTATTATTATTATTATTATTATTATTATTAACTTAAAAAGTGTGTTTTGTGAGAATCGATAAAAAACGAATTACTCACTTCCCGCAAATGATCTTTAAAATTTATGTAAAGTTCCAGTTTATATATATATAGACATCTAAACAATTTGCTACTTGCAAATACATGTAAGAATAAAATAAAAAGGACAATAATTTTATATTTTTTAATAAGGGTTGTTTTAGGTCAGAACTAGCTCACTTAAAGTGTGTCTCATTTTGAGTTAAGTAGACATATTTGGATTGTTCCTTACAATATTCTAACGACGGTTTTAATGACGTGTATAATTTTTGACGATTTTATTGTGTGCAGCAAAATTTATGGAATGTATAATTTTAAGACACAACTCGGCATTTGTTTTCCGAAATTCTAAATTTAAAAAAAATGAATATATTAAGCAAACATTTTTACTTTCGTATTATTAAAACTTTTTAATCAGCTACCCCTTGCAATACTAGTTATAAATCTAAAAACTTGTAGATGCGACTCGCATTTGATTATATATGTTTCGATAATGAATTGAGATTTCACCTCACTATTGTAATCTGTTAAAACGGCCATCATAGCGCGCCCGTACTTTAGATGTATTAACAAAACGGTGGCACTATGTTAAAACGCTTATTACACCACCGAATTCTATCTTAGGGAGGTGTAACAATCGGACAAAAGTCCGATTCGTATTCATTTCGAATCCGAAACTATACAAATCTAGAAAACTCGGACGCACTACGGGTGTCCGGGTGCACAAAATCCGAGGCGAAGAGAGAAAATACGAATATCGCTTGTACGCCTAATGATAAGATCCCTGTGACATTTCGGATTGTCATTTCTCGGATTCGGAACTGGGGGTCTACTCTCGATCTCCGTATGACATCCGTCCGAAACAATTACTGTCAAATAAGCAATATTCGACAAAATTAAAAGACAAGTATCAAATATGAAGCTTCATTCGCATCACGCGTCTTTTCATTTGGTCAAGTATTGCTTATTTGGCAGTAATTGTTTCGGACGGATGTCAGACAGAGATCGAGAGTAGACCCCCTGATACGAATCGAAAGTAGTGCGGAATGCTCTTAAATGGGGCATTATTATTCTGCATTACAGTCCGCCTTGCCGTCCGCCGCGTAATGCAGGATTTGTAGGTAGTTATGGCGTGCAAGCCATCCTGAATTCTGCAGGAGAGTGTGTGAGCAGTATTCTGCCTGCGCACCGGACTTCCATGCAGGTGATGGGCCCGTTTTAGGATAAGGCTTGATTCATATCGCCGAGACAGGATGACTGATATAATAAGATAATAAGAGAGCGGCGCCATAAATAGGGGCCACGCTCACCCTTGACGCAGGGCCCTAGAAATCGGGTAATCTTTATTTTAAATCACAACATATAAATTGGTTACAATTTATGTCGTGGAGGCAGAATTCGATCGTGGGCTTACTATGAACTGTTACTATGTTTTCCTGCTTTACTAGCGAAAAGACTTAACGGAACAAGCCCAGGCTTGTGTTCGAACCCGAGTTACGAAACCTGTCGAGCGAAAGCTTTATGCTTCCGGTAGTTACGTCATTAATGGATTAACTTTACACCGTTTACCTACTTAATATTCCTCTAAACGAGTAAGTAAACTAGTCAGTTTTAACCAAGGTACCTAAATGTGGTTTCATACAGCAGTTAATTTCTTACAACGCATATGAGTGAATAATAAGAACTAACATTGAGGTAATGACTTTCCACTTTAATGACGAATGTTTAATTTGATGATTAATAACTTATCGTTCTTTGAACGGTACAGAACCAGACTAACAATATCTACGCTTCTACCACAAGTCTACTGTGACAGTTGGCGCTAGCGACCGCGTAAATTACTTCACAACTTTGTACGGCAAATTATACAGCGCCCCTAGCGGTCACAAGAAGAAACTACATTTTGTATAAAAACATTTACGCAGTCGCTTAGTTCATTTCACAAGGCATGGGCACGGTGACGTCAGGGATGTAAAATCGAATGAAAAAAAATCGATTTAAATATCTTAACGAGATAAATTGCAACGAAGAGCGAATGGAATTAGGGACAATAATTTAAGAACAAATAATAAACAAAATAAAAATGATTAAATTATTAAGTTATTAAAAACTTAATAACAACCAAATATAAAATCAACAGCATCGAAATGAAATTTGAACAATTACTTCAAAACAATTTGAAAATATTACGCAAAGGTCAAAACAAAAGAAAACGACCCGCATGCAAGACAATTCACTTATATTGAAGCGAGATATATGTAATTTTGAAACTTGCTTATTCGATTCATCGATTTTGTGGTGTAAATCTCTATAATAACGCGCACTTACTCATAGCCCCGCACTAAGTAAACCCTGTATCGCGGGTGCCATGGACACACACATAGACAACCACAAATTACACCCAAACTCACGAGAGAAACAAATGTAAGCCATACAAATATTTCGGGACCTATGCGTGGCAGTACAGCACGGTATCCGTTCGGCCATAGAGGCAGTAGTCTATGGATACAATTCCGTTTTACGCATCAAGGACTTGGGATAATTTATCTTTATCATTTCGATATTATCAAAGAATATTATTTATGTTTAGTATATTTTAACTAATTTACTATTTCGAGGTTGGGAGATTAGTTAATAATACAGAGTACTAAAAAAACCGACTTCAAAAGTCATTCACCCTCTACTTAACCACCCTTAGAGGTGGAATATTTTCTTCGTTTTTACCATTGACTTACAATTATATGGACGTCGGGACCGCGCTAAAAAGTGTCCGAACTTATAGGGCGTTAAAATCGTATACAGAGCGTCATTCACGCTTTAGTCTTCGTTTGTTCGACTGACAGCGAAGCAAGCAAAATTAGATAGTACTGCGATGTCACTACGTTTAAATAGGTTGACTTGGGACATTTTTTTCGTGGTTTGTGTATTAGACCCGTCGTCCATTTATTTGTAAGTCAATGGTTTTTACAATAAGACTCCGAAGCATATATTAAGGTTACCATTTCCTAAGTTTAAAACTTACGTTAAAAGTATTTTAATATTTAAAAGTTTTTTAAGTATTGAAATGTCATATTACAAAATTGTAGACTACGTGTTAGATAAAGACTTATGGAAAGACAACGTGGGTCTAGATTCCACATAAATACTATGAGTCTATTTGAAAAGTGCAATCCTTAGAGTTTCTTGCTCGTTCTTCACAGGGAGGTCAGCGTAGTGAACGAGCAGTAGCTTCAAAAATGACGTTTTCAAGTGTTACAATTTTACCTATGGAATAAATGATTATTTGACTTGACTTGACTTGACTTCAAATTTAAATGGGAGCACTTCTGAGGTATCCTCTTTCCAACAAAAGACGAATCATCAAAATCGGTTCACAAATGCCGAAGTTATCGCGTAAAATACATTACAAAAAAAAGATACAGGCGAAATAAGAACCTCCTCCTTTTGAAGTCGTTTAAAAATTGTATGCATGCAACGTACAAAACTGAAATGTCACAGTACCCAACCTATATTAATAATCTCATGGTAGAGGCACAAAATGGAGTAGTCCAAAACGAAGCTAAAGCTATATGGCGTAATGAATAAATATACCAAAGTGGACGGCCTTGACTATTTCTATATTAATCTTTAACATGCACTCTTAATCTTTAGGCATTAAGTCCGTTTTCCGATGCTCTATTTTTGCTGGACAAGATTGGAAAATTTCTATTAATAGTTTTTTGATCTATTATTATTTATTACTCATTTTAGATTCACGCTTTTGAACTGAAGTATAAATTTTGATTTTTCGCATTTTTGTTGGAATTCCGGCGCCATTTCTAGGCTTTAGTAACACAACATCATTGCGTCTAGTAAATTAATTCATTAAATTTAATTAATTAACACAGTACTGCCAAGGAATACAATTCGATGCTTCCGTATATGTTTTCAAGTACATGTAACTCAAATGTCTCTTTCTGAGCGAGCACGTTCCATCGTATACCATATCTTTGCTCAAGCATACTTCCCACCTTGCCATAACTAACACTTTAGCATTTTGGTAACTTACGGCATATTGTCACTTAAGTTTTATCGTCAAAGATGTGAATTAAGCTGATTTTGCTTAGCAATAAAACGGAAACTAAATAAGATATGAAAAAACCGCATATCGTCTTAGAGCGAACACCTCGTGTAATTTTTCAGGACGAAAATAAAAATGTGGTGTAAAATGTGGTAAACGCTATAATGTTTACAGTTAGCATTTTAGTTAGTCAACTTGGACGTAGTTAAACAAAAAGGATCTAATGCACATTCAGTCACTTTCGAGATATGTCAGTTTGAAGTTTAAAAGTATTTCTCACTCTTGTCTTATTTTCAAAACTTGTAATGTCATATAACTTCAGAAATACATATTTATGTTTATATGTTGGATCTTTTTGTTGATCTAAGAGGTTAGACTTTACGCACCGTTTGGTACTTATAATTTATTTTTTGATAATTTTGTGAATTGATTTCTTTTTGCTTAACTACGTCCAATTATACCTCTTTCAGATACTATATTACTTTAATAATATATTTGAACAAGAATTTTATACGTTTGTCTTCAACAAAAATCAGTAAAAACGAACTATGTGAAAACGCGTAAACAAGGTTTTCACTCTAAGGCACGTCGCCTATAGAGGTTGTGTATAGAGATTGTAGATCTCGTTTTGCTAATTCCAGACATCGCACTGCTATTGCAATAGTGTTGTAACTCAAAATACGGGAAATTCAAGATTATTTTTGCTGAATGTAAAATTTGATTTTCTACACGTCAACAAAACCGTCATTCAATCAGTCTTCAGTATTTTTTTAATTTTATAACATCAAGTGACGGGACGAACAAATCATACGCCTGATGGTAAGCTATATGCCTGTTCATAACAGTCACTACCACTGCGCCCGTCAAACTGAGACATAAGTTGACAACTCCCAACAAAAGGTTGACAAAAGTTGAAAAATAAGGTATTTAATTAATAACTATTGTAACTATAGTGAAAAAATAGGGTGGTTTGCATCAATATTAGACATAACTGGTTGTATACTGTACAACCTCAGTCAACCGTGACCATGGGACCTGTAAAGGGCCTGAAACGTCGGTTTGTTTGAAAAAAACAAATATACGCGATTTAAATCCGGAAAAACAGTTTCATTTCCTATGTGTACCAATCGCGAAAACCTAAGAACTCGAACTCCCATTGCCTGTAATTTCACCAGCACCCTTTCCCTTCAAAACCGGAACACAGCAATGCTGACATTACTGTTTGGCGGCAGAAATAGGTAAGGTGGCAGTGCTATACTGGATGGACTCTTTCACAAGGAGCTTTACTGTTACTAGAATAAACAATTAAAATAAGATATATTAAGAAACAATCTACTTAACTCTAAATGAGTCAAGAGAGAAAAGTTTATGTGAGCTAGTTCTGTCCAAAACAGTCTTTACTAAATAAACATATATAATTTAAATTGTAATTATTAATGTTGTAAATTGTAATGGTTGTAAGTGTTGTCATTTGAATAAGGTGGCTTTAATGTTTTGTGTGGTAAATAACTGGTTTTAAATAATATTTTTTTCCCTTTTGTTGTTAAATATATTTGGAAAGTACGAAATTGTTTAGATGTCTGTACAGAACTTTAACCTATAAGTACATTAATTTTAATAATCGTTCACGAAAAGTGAGTAATTCGTTTTTCATCAGTTCTGAAAAATTACACTTTTTGAGTTAATCCACTATGTATTAACAGTGTGGTATTATGTTATGAACTCAATTTTGCTAAAAATGTCGATTACGTCAGTTATGTCTACCGAGGGCGGCAAAGCAGTCAAAACAAAGACCATTTAAATCGTCGGTTCCCAAAGTTTTGGCTCACCGCTCACTTAGGCAAAATAAAAAAAATTCAACGCCCACCATTACAAAAATAAATGAAAACATATATTTTTTATATTAACTTGATACAAAAAAATCATAGGGAATATATCGCACTGTTAATACAATAGTGTATTAACTCAAAAAATGGACTTTCTCAGAATCGATGAAAACCGAATTACTCACTTCCCGCAAAAAAATCACTAAAATTTATGTAAATTATAGTTTATTATAGACTTAAACAATTTCTCAAATATTCTAAAGACGGTTTTTTTGACGTGTAGAGAATTCAATTTTACGTACAGTAATGATTATAATATTAAATTTGACATATTTTATACATTGTATGTGTGTAGAGTAGTTTGCATAGGTAATTCAGAAATTCATATTCGGAAGTACCCCCTAGACAGCATTGACGCCCCCTATTGTTTCCGAGGCCCCTACCGCCTATCTAGAACATTCCAGCGCTCACTGGGGGACGGTAGGGATTACTTTGGGAAACTATGACGTAATTGTTAAAAAAATAGAAAAGTGTTGTCTAAAAAATCAATTATAGTATAATAACTAATGCTACAAATTTGAAATATTGAGGTGATAAGACACTTACCTTTGCCAAGCCGGTAGGCGCCTTTGGAATGATGTTAGGAACAATTTTTCTATCTGAGAACTTCGTAGCTATATCCTGAGATGAAACAACTAGTACGTTTACCAAAAACAGAACAAAAATTGCACTTTTCGCTGTAGGTGACATTTTTTATTGCAAAATTTTATTTTATTGCAAAACAACTGCGCGGTAGCGAGGATTAACTGTTATGTGGATTTTAAAAACAAATTAAAAAATAATTTAATTCAAATTGGTATAGTATTTTTAATTTTAATATTAAGTTTTCGATAAACTAATCACAATCAAAATTATTGCAAATAATTATTTAAAATGAAAATGTATGAGATTTTCGTGAAACGTGTGCACTAGTCAAGAAATCTTTAACAAGTGAAGTGCTTTTAGTGGCCGGGACGAAATCGGGCGTTAGGCACACGCATACGCACCGCGTTGGTTAGAGGAGTACTGTCGGCGTAATCATGTAAAGTTTATAATAACTTTTCTGCGCACCGTAAGATAACAATAACTATGAAGGAAAACAATCAGATGTAAATGTATATTCGTAGACTTGTGGTGGATGACTATCAACCTTTTCATTGTGCTAGCAAACATTTGAATCAGAATACAAAGTTTATTGCACGGAAGAACAAATCATAGAGAAAAAGATATGGTACAGCAGGCAAGTTAATTACGAGTATATGTATACAACCTCATACGGCGTTAGTTTGTTTCGCATAACAGTGAGTGTTGAATCAATCACTTTAGAAAAATCTATATAGTAAAATTGAGGACATACACAGATACATACTTAGAATAATAACGCATAGAATGATAGTTTCGTATCAAACGAACTGTCACAAGTGCGGCAAAAATCAAATTTATGTAGGCTAGTTTTAGTAGTAGGTTAATTTTCGATTTTAGTGAATATTTATATAAAAATACAAGTTGAAACGCGTTACTTCCTTGTGGAATGTGATGTTAGTATCTATTTTATGTTTGTCTGACGTATTTTTACACTCATTTACCGCACATTTCGTCATTTTTAGCTAAAGTTCTTGATCTGTTCGCGGTGCAAGTTGACCTTGAGCACTGAAGGCCCGCCCGCTCGTGTAGGCCCTTTGGGAGCGCTTCAATTTGCCTCACTTAGCGTGTGCGGGCTAGGTTTCTATGCGTTATTATTCTAAGGATACATATATATATACGGCGTGAAAACATGATTCCTAAAAATTTTCAGGATACAAAAACACAAACTTATCGCGAAATTTTACAAGAAAACCGCTGTATTCAGTGGGTACTTTACCAATGATTTTTTTTATATCAACTGAACTAAACACGTGTAGTATACGATATACATTTTTCAAAAGGTTTTAATTTCGTTTGTAAAAAAAAAAATTCTGAAATAAAGCCAGTGTCCCTGTCGCTTGACCCAAGTAAAATGAACCGTATTAACACGGGAAAAGTTTGAATTCGAGCTGACGTAGTACCGACGCCTAAGATTTTTAAAACAAATGAACGTTGAAAAAAAAAAACAAAAATTTAAGTAATATTTATTTTATTGAAAACTGTCTCGGTGGCCGAAAGGTTCCCATGCTGGTCTGCCACGGAGAGGTCCGGGAGAAATATTTGTATGGCCTACATTTATTTCTCTCCTGAGTTTGGTGTAATGGTTTCCCTGTAAGTGTAAAAAAATATATCATGGTACTTTGTTTTTCGTTTTCTCTGTTATTTGTTTTAGTTTAAATAGACAGATAAATTGTTATTATCAGTTAAATATTATCATAACGCAACGTGCGACGTTTTAAAGTAATTTTCAAAATTCATTTATTGAAATAGTGGAACGGTCGCCACAGGACAGGATCTGCCTAGTGTGGGACTAGCTGTAACCATGCATAATGCTATCAGGCATGACATCATACTATACACATACACATCATAATATAATATTAACATTCATGTAATTTAGTGTAACATTGTTTTTACAAATTTTTTCGTACTGCTATTTGTCTTTGTGATAAGTTGACAAGTCCCATGTGACTGTAATTTCGCTAGCACCCTTACCCTTCAAAACAGGAACACAGTACATGCTGACATTACTGCTTGGCGGCAGAAACAGGTAAGATGATAGTACTTCCCTAGACGAACTCTACTGCTCACAAAGAGCTAGCTCTACTGCTATAAAACTTTACAAAGCTACTGCATTGTTAGGGAAAAGATGTTGCTGATGGACGGCCGACGGATGGCACCAACTTCACACTTGTACTGTTTGCCGAAACGTTTTTCTGGGCGGTTTCTATACGGTAAAACCAGCGAAAAAAACCGATTCGTTTATTTTCGCTGCCATGTCATGTCACTGGAAACCGTGTGCGGCGTAGGGTAAAAAAACCGAATCGGTTCGGTTTATCGTACCCCGCCACAACGTCTTCTTCCATCTTCCACGAAACTTTGTATTATAAGCGTTGCAGCTGAACTTCCGGCTCTCTGCCCCAAAACGGTTCTACCGTATCGGAAAACCGACTAACGTTATAAATGTGAATGTATGTAGGTACGTTTTTTAAACCTATGTCTTAAACCGAATAAGAAAACTGAATTGAATAAACCGTACAAGTGTGAAGGATGACGCAGCTTGACATGTGGAAGTACTATCACCTTACCTATTTCTGCCGCCAAGCAGTAATGTCAGCGTTACTGTGTTCCGGTTTTGAAGGGTAAGGGTGCTAGTGAAATTACAGTCACATGGAACTTGTCAACTTATCGCAAAGACAAATAGCAGTACGACAAAATTTTTAAAAACAATGTTACACTAAATTACATGAATGTTAATATTATATTATGATGTGTAAGTGTATAGTATGATGTCATGCCTGATAGCATTATGCATGGTTACAGCTAGTCCCACACTAGGCAGATCCTGACCTGTAGCGACCGTTCCACTATTTCAATAAATGAATTTTGAAAATTACTTTAAAACGTCGCATGTTGCGTTATGATAATGTTTTACTGATAATAACAATTTTAGATAAATTGTTATTATCAGTTCCATCTATTTAAACTAAAATAAATAACAGAGAAAACAAAAACAAAGTACCATGATATATTTTTTTACACTCATAGCCCCGCACTAGCACTATTACACCAAACTCAGGAGAGAAATAAATGTGGGCCATAGAAATATTTCTCCCGGCTCGGGAATCGAATAATAATCCATCAATAATCGAGTTAATAATCCACAACATTTTATTACCTCTTATTTGTGTGGCAATAATGCTTTTTGTAGTCGGCTCAAGTTCCGCGTCGAGAAATGTGGTGCCTCCCTAATGAACGTTACTTACAATTAAAGCAAAAATAATCATAATTCGAGTTTAGTGGAGTTTTCTAAATGCAACGTGTATGGTGTAAATGTTTTATACAACCGTACTGACACGTGATGCAGACGTAGTACTTAATCTTTACGACCGAAATTAATTTGCCTCGGCTGTACGGCGTCGCGGCGGCCTGTAGGGTTCACCACCATTTGCTATATTATATAACTTTCGTAAATAATTGTATTTCAAATAATATGATACATTAAAATTCTTCTGTTAGCGTTGTACATATTTGTATGGCATTAAAAGGGAATTGGATAATTAATGATCTTAAAATAGATATGAGAGATTTGAAACCAAGAATAATAATCTCAGTACAGAGTACTAAAAAAACCGACCTCAAAAGTACGTGGAATTACGTCTATTTGCTAAGTTTCATTGAAATATCCCCTAGTATAGTATATACTGGAGATAATAAAAATAGGTTCTCACTACGACACTACTCAACAATCAACTAAATAATTGCTAAAAGTAATTGCTCCTAAATTAAAGTTAGGCGCTATTTATAAAAATGAATCTTCATGCGTGAACAGCCACCCTTTGAGGTGGATGATTTTCTTCAAAATGAAATGGGACCACTATGGAAATACACCCTTTCCAACAAAAAAAGAATCAGGAAAATCGGTTCACAAATATCGGAGTTATCGCGTAACATACATACAAAAAAAAAACAAAAAAATCATACAGTCGAATTGAGAACCTCCTCCTTTTTTGAAGTCGGTTAAAAAATTACTTACTTAATTATTTACAAAACTGTGTCATCTCTAATTATTTTTCCATTTGTAGGGAGAGATTGTAAGCATTTCAAGTTTGCGTATTATATACTTTTATGTTCTGAATCAAAAATTGGCACTGAATGAGATATGTCGGTCATTCTCGGACTAGTGTTCATTACCTAATATCTGTGACAATTTTTATTATTTAAGTATTCGATTTTCTTATCGTATAATATTATTTAATATTCGAGTATTGTATCGTGAAATATTACTTAATAAATATATGCGATAATATACTTGAATATTTAAATTATGAAAATTGCCACGGAAATTAGGTAGTGAACACTAGCCTGAAAACATCGAGTATGTAACCAAAAATATAGACGAAATTAAGACCACACATTCCCGGTAACTCATCAGTGATACATCACTTATAAATATCAACTCTCGTTTGCACTAAAATATACATATACAGCGCCAACAACTGACCCGTCCCCGTATATTCCAAAAATATTCTGTGTTTATTGTAATAAAGATAATTTATCTCTAACAATGGGGTGGGGTTCCATTCGGTGGTGTGGGGAAAAACAGTAAACCATCTAATTACAAAACACACGGAATCAAATTTCATCGGTAATTAAATATTAAATATGTCATTTTGCAATTTTCGTCCATTATAACAAAACTCAAGTTAACTGGTCGATTTGAAGTGAAACAATTGACGGTACCCGTCAATTATTTCGAATTCGGGCAGACCACTCGGAGCGCAGTTGTCACAGTAATGATTTGGCAGAATAGTTTTCAAACAAATTAAATGACATTTTGTCTCTATTATTTGGTTATATACTCGATGTCTGAGAATGGCCGATTAACATAAAATAAAATCTTACAAATTTATTTCTTGTCATCTAGGATTACCTACTATGTAGCAGGAAGTATTAATATGTATCAAAAACTTAATTATTTTATTCGTGAATCATATGTTCGTTACAATATGTACTTTGCAAACTTTCCGAGCTGATAAGAAGATCGACTGCACTACGCGGGCGGCGCAGCACTATTGACGTCTCGAATCGATACTCCGTGTCCCGCCCTATTTTATTCACTTTGACAGGTAACGTTCCCGCAAAAAGATAGAAGTTTAATACTTTGTTCAAAACTGTAATCTAAATAAATAAATTACTTAACTTAACAGTGCGAGAATTCTGGCGAAAAACGCGCAACCCAGAGATGGGCAAGCGCCCGGGCGCTTTGTTCGCGATTTTAATCGAGTTAAAACCCATTAACGCCCGAAATCGAAGGCAAAAACTATTTACAACTAAATATTTATAGAGCGGGTTTTATTCAAATGTAATAATATTAAAATG